CTGCAAAATAATTTTTTTCGATTGCACCTTTACCTACAAATACTGAGATCGGCGTTTAACTTTGTAGCAGAGAAAGATAAGTGCGATACGCCTTGAATACGGTTGATACGATGGAATGGAGGTCATCCCTACAATAATAAGTCAACTTCTCTGTTAGTAGCTCATCGAGGCCCAATGGTTGCGCTCAGATCTCATTAAGAATTTCGCAATCAATACGACGCCGCTCCTGGAGGCGAGACATCAGTTTGATGGGTAAATTTATACTTCGCTCTGAGGAACGAATACTATTCTCGCACTTGATGGAAAGACGAAGCTTAAAAGCAACATCGGACAGAGGAAATCCTCAGAAAATTACACCTTTACATTCACTGGCCGAACTATTGACGTCGCATCCGGGGTAAAGTATATTTTTATGGCATCGGTGTGCTCGCACACGAAGGTCGAAACAGCGCCGTTTTCCAGAGCAGCATAAAGCGTCGTCCGTGCACGCCCGATATAATCATCACATGGCTACTTTTCGAAAACCGTCGAACACGTTATGATGCCTTTTAGCTCGCTACATACTGAACTCCTTTCTTCGCGACGACGACTCATTCACAGCATAGCGACCTTGTGCTTCAAACGAGCAATAATCTCTATCCGCTCCAGCGGGAATTGCTACAGGGGGCATTCGGAATTCGCATTTGATTGCTTTGTTTGTTTACATATTGATGGCATGTAGAATGAATATCATTCGATCGTAAGCAAGATGATACGGTTGACGCGGCAAAAATATAAATCTCCGTTTGGAGTGCACTCGACGACAATTGTCTAGCTCTCCATCTGTGTGCGTATCATAGGCGGGCCGACTCGCACTGTGAAGCGTACACTCATAAGGAGGCTTTTCTCGTTACGTTTGCCAAACTAGTCAATTGAAAGCTGCCGCTTGCCACTTTTCATCATACTCTGCTCACGCGACTGCAATGCTTTATCCTGGACAAGACAACCCGAGTCTAAGAGGACGTCTTACCTGGCAAGATTAAACGAATCTAGTTTTTGCACTCATAGGGGCATCAACTGGGCGTTTCTTCGTTCGTGATGACTCGCAGTTCACGACCGCAACATCGTATCACATTTGTTAGGGCCTTTCACCTAAAACGCCCGTCAAATAAAGCCTCATGCATGAATTTATGTACACTGTGTGGGTCTCTCTTTTTACCATCCTGGCGATAAGCAACTTTGTGCAGACGATTCGTACTTGAGGTCTGATATGTGAACTACGAAGACCTGTCGCAAGTCTCGTGCGCGTTCACGATGTCTTACGTATCTCGATTTTTAGCTCCCCATTTCCGCAAAAAAGGTCCCGGCTGCCTCCTCACAAAAGTAGTCGCTCCACTGCGGACCGCCTCCGAAACGAGCCCAAACCTGCCGGGTTCGAGCAGACCCGTTCTCCCAACTATCTATACCGTCCAATCACCGGTCTCGTCGTCGCCGCCACTTCCCATTTGATCTGCTCGCGCGTACCAACCGCCTGCCTCACTCGCCCCCTCTTCCGTGCGTCGGCCTCCCACGATGGACGTCTCCTCCGCCTTGATCAACACCCAAAGCCCCGGTACGCACCGACTGTATCCACCTGCAGCCACTTCCCCTCTGTAGTGTCCTCTCGTATCGTACGGTGTTGTGTGCTTCTCACCCCATCTGCCTCTCGCTAACTACCTATCTGTACCCATTGTCTTTGACTGTGTGTGCAATTAGACGTCGCGCTGCGGCAACAGGCCGAAGAGTTCTTGAACAATGCACTGCAGCAGCAGATGGGACAGCTCATGGTGACGCTCGTCCAGGCGCTGGCGGCCGAAGACTTTGCCGTGGTGGGCCGCCAGGCCGCTGGTCTCTACCTCAAGAACGTGCTGGACGCCAAAGACAGCGCGCTGCAGCAGCAGAAGATCAACGCGTGGATGGCCATTGACCCGGCGCTGCGCACGCTGATCAAGGACGGCGCGCTCAGTGTACTGCAGTCGAGCGACCCCGTGGCGCGCCACACGAGCGCCCAGTTGGTGGCCAAGATTGGCAGCATTGAGCTGCCTGCCAAGCAGTGGCCGACGCTGCTCGAGTCGCTGCTGCAGAACGTGACCAGTAGCAGCGAAGGCGGCATACACGCCACGCTCGAGTGTCTCGGCTACCTGTGCGACGAGCTGGAAGAGAACACCATTGACGAGCAGGATACCAATCGTATCTTGACGGCCATTGTGGATGGCATTCGTGCTGACCGGCCACCGGCTATTCGCCTTGCGGCCGTGACAGCCTTGCGGAACAGTCTCGAGTTTGTGAGTGAGAACTTCAAGCGCAAACAAGAGCGCGATCACCTGATGCAAAAGATCTGCGAAGCAACACAGTCTTCGGATCTGCGGACCCGAGTGGTAGCGTACGAGTGCATCGCTGCTATTGCAACAATGTACTACGAATACCTCGCAGAGTACATGGAGACACTGTGCAAGCTGACGTTCAACGCCATTACAAGCGACCAGGACGAAGTGGGCCTGCAGTCGCTTGAATTTTGGTCGTCTATGTGCGATGTGGAGCTCGACCTGATTGAGGAAATGAACTACGCAGAGCTCGAGGGCCGCACTGATTTCGTTCCCTGCAATTATTACGTGCAGACGGTGTTGAGTACGCTCATCCCACTGCTCACGGAAACGCTCAAGAAACAGGAGGATGACCAGGACGAAGACTCGTGGAATCTCTCGATGGCTGCCGCAACGTGCCTTGCTCTGGTGGCTCAGGTGGTTGGTGATGCCTGTGTAGACCTCACCATGACGTTCATAACGCGAAACATTGAGAGCAACGAATGGCGGTCGAAAGAGGCCGCTATCATGGCGTTTGGCTCGATTTTGGACGGCCCCGACTCGGCCAAGATTGCCCCGCTTGTGCGTCAGGCGCTCGGCTTCCTGATGAGCTGCATGAAGTTTGACGACATCTTGGTTCGCGACACAACAGCCTGGACGCTTGGCCGTATTTGCGAGCTGCATTATCGATGTATCAGTGGCGAGATGTTGCCTGGACTGATGCAGCTCCTGCTCGAAGGGTTGGACCAGGAACCGCGTGTGTCGCACAATGTCTGTTACGCCATCCACAATATCGTGAAAGCCTTTGAGGAGTCAGTGGAAGCTGCGCATATGCTGACCCCGTACTTCAGTACACTGTTTGACAAGCTACTCGAAACCAGTGCCCGCCCGAATGCTACGGAGAGCAACTTGCGCGGGTCAGCGTATGAGGCCTTGAATGTGTTGGTGCAAGCTGGCGCTGATGAGGTAAACCAGCACATCATGTTGCGTCTCCCCGTGGTGCTGGACCGCTTGGAACAAAGCATCAAGACGTTGATCGAGAACCCAGACATCCTTCAGGACGATCAGGCTGGTCTGCAGGCATTGCTATGCGGTGTGTTGATTGCTGCCATCCAGAAGCTGAATACCGATATCGAGCCGTTAGCAGACCGCATCATGCAGGCGCTTCTACAAGTGTTCTCCACGCGGAATGCTGCTGCTGCAGAAGATGCTTTTATGGTTGCAGGAGCTCTGGCGAATGTCGTTGGTCCCAAGTTTGAAGTGTACATGCAGTACTTTGGCCCAGTGGTGCTGATGGGCTTGAAGAACAGCGAGGAGTATATGGTTTGCAGTGTCGCGGTTGGTGTCGTGGGTGACCTGTGTCGTGCTCTGGAGGGCAAGATCCTGCCGATGTGTGACGAGATTGTGGCTGCTCTGATCGAGATTTTGAACAACCCCATGCTCGATCGCTCGGTGAAGCCACCAGTCCTATCTTGCTTTGGCGACATTGCACTCGCTGTTGAAGGCGATTATGAGCGCTATGCGGCGTCTTCGCTCCAGGTGATTCTACAGGCCGCGGGCGCGTGCGGATCTATTGCAACGGACGACGAAGAAGTGGTGGAGTATATGAACCAGCTGCGCGAAAGTGTGCTGGAGGCGCTGACAGGTATTGTGCAAGGTCTGGGAGCTGCCAACAAGGCGACTATAGTGGTAGAGTGCGCGCCACAGATTGGAGCTTTCCTGGCCACGTTGTCGAACGACCTTGCAACGCGTTCGGACGCTGTGACGACGGGTGCGGTGGGACTGATTGGGTACGTGAACGGTTTTGAGTGTATGCGGATGGTGGTATCTGATGGATGGTAATGTGCGTGTGGTTGTGAACGTAAAGTGACATGGCCCAAGCGCTAGGCAAGGCAGTGGAAACGGTGCTCCACCAGCAGTTTGCGGTACAGCTCGTGAGTGAGTGTGCAAACAACGCGCAGAACCCGCAGGCGCAGCAGTTGGCAGCGTGGACGCAGAAAGTGATCATGGACTTGCAGTCGAACTAAACATGTTTCAGCGCGGACGTTCGACTCCATTTTGCTCGTGTCTGCCTCCTGCACACACTGACGAATGGAGTCGATGATGGGACCAACTTGCGTGTGGAACTGATGCCTTGTCGGCCCTCTGGCTGACTTGAGCTGGCGCGGGGTTGACTGCGTTCTTGCTTGCAGTTGCTAGTTGCCTTTTGCAATCAGCAGCTCAAGCGGGGCGTACGTCACCTCGTCGACTGGATGACAGGTGTACGCGTCGGCGGTCTTACATGTGAGTAATACTTTATTCGACGTGCTGGTGGTATTTATCGGGAGTGTCGAGATTATTAGGTGGCTGCGCCAGTGCAGCGCCCCCACCGCTGGCGGCATAAGAGCGTCAAGTGCATAAGTCGTGCCCGCGTGCTTGTTTTCCCCAACTGGGAAGATCGGCGCGAAGGCGGACGTCGCTTGGCTGCTCGTGGGTGGAGTTGGTAGGAAGTTGTAAGATGTCGCGTTCATCGAGAAGACGAGATAAGGTTAATTGCACGACGCATCCGACCTGCTCGGTTGCTTTCTCTTCTTTCTTGCTATATTTGTTATTGCATCGAGCAGATTGGTACGCCAATAGCTACGAGCCAACGAGGGCAGCGAACATGCTGTGTGTCTATTGTTATGTGATGTGAAATACCTACAGAAGCTGCTCGAGATCCACGGGCTTGAACACACCTTTCGATTTCTCCAAAAAGACTACACCTTGCTCGACGATGATCTGGTGCTTCCCGAATGTATACGTTTGCTGCCCATCGTAAAAACCTTTTGGCACGAAGGTCACGTTGTTAGTAATTGCAAGATTCTCGATAACGTCCCTCAAGCTGACGCTGCGAGGTGCGCGCTGCGATGAAGTTTTCGCTTCTCGGTTCGGCGGTGCCTCGTCTCGTACCAACGCCAATGCCCCTTGATAGCTTGTGGCAGCGTTTATGTTTAATTCGGGAAGAAGTGGCCGGCTCTCATTTGGTACACCAACTCTTTCGCTAGCGGCGAGCAGCAGCACAAGAGCTCCGTGAAAGTGCACTCGCAATCTCTCATTCGTTGCCAAATCCTTTTGCTCAAAATAGAGCTTCCAGCCGCGGTACCATGCTTCCAGCTCGGTCAAGTTTGGTGATCCAGTAACCCATGTCCGCAATGTCTTCAGCCACTTGGGAAAGAATTCACCTTCTAGTACGGCAATGAACTGGCGGTCAGGAATATGGCCTTTCCATGCCAACACCCACGTCAGAGGTGCCAATGATTGATTGTCCGGCTTGATTTCAAACTCGCGATGTAAACAACGAGCCAATGTTCGGACAATGTACCGGTGAGTGAACTTCCCGTACTCGTGTTCGCCCCAAAGCTCTCTCCACGGAGACAAAAGAGAAAGAACCGACAAATCCGACGGATGCCACCGGTTTAGTACGTTTGCCAGAGCTAATTGAATATCAGGGTACAGAGACTCCATTGCAGCACCAACGTAAGGCAGCCAAGGAAGCAACCACTCGTGAATGGGTATCGTATCACAAACAGGATCCCAGCGGTGGCACTCTTTCTTTAGCCGGGAAAAAACCAATTGGAGCAGAAACGCATCCTCAAATTCGCCTGACAGATGTGGCCGCATTTTCAAAAACATATTAACGCATGCGGCTGGAGCAGATTTGACTTGCCATGCCACATTCACACACTGCTCTATTGCTGGCCACAACGTTTCCTCAAGGATGAGATTGTACAAATCGTCACCCTCTGCCATGGTCTTCTCGCCAATGACGGGGAGCACACTAGCTGACTCGGAAGAATTGATAGCAGCTTCCTTCGGAAACTGTGTCAAGAACATTTGGATTAAGCGGAACTGCACAACCACACAATCAATCGATGTTGGCTCAAGCAGATCTGAATCCGTGAGCAAAGCTCGAAGCGGAGGCACACAGAGAGACAGCACCATATGCTGCAGCTTGTGCACGTCAAATTCTAGTAGAAACTTACGACGCACTTTGCACAAATGTGACAACAAAGGCTCCACTGACCGCAAGTCTAATGCCTCTTCGCGCAGTGCATCCAGCAATTTCAGTTGATCGATTAGAGCTTGCATGCGTTGCAGTCGAACATCATCCACATCCAGTTGTGCCTTGATCATCCTCGACTCTTTCTTCATCACGACAACACTTTCTGTGTTGCTTTCAATTTTTTGACTCAAGTCGACAATTTTGCATTGTGCCAGATTTACCACCATCCGCACATTGTACATCAACTCCTCGCCTAATACTGGTCTTGCCGCTTTCATACGTTGCGGGTCGATATCAAAGGCGGCAGTCAAATCAGGCAACACACGCACAGAAGGTCCCCGCAAATCCAACACGACGTCACTCCTTTTCTGTCGCTTCATCTCCTGAGCTTCCAGCACCAACTCTGCCGTTCGTTTGTGTGCCTTACTTTGACGACCAGCCACAAACTTTCTTTTCCTCCACAGCACGTCATTCTCCACACCACCAGTAGTGTCGTCCTCGGTCACATTTTCAATGATCTCCCCTTTTAGCTCTTTCTGCAGCTTTCTGTTTTGTTTCAAATTACTGGCCTCCACAAAGTCTCCGTAGCCCATGCCCATCTGTGCCGGACGCTTCTTTACTTTAATAGTGGCCGATACGCCGTCCTCTTTCTTGCCCAAACGACCCTTAAAGCCCATTTTGGCCATCATTTTGGTACCAAAACCTGTTGTGTGTTTCTCCCAGACAAAAGTCTTCGACTTATTCACAGTAGCAACCGGTGCTCGATCTGAATGAGCCATTCCAGACCCTGCAGTCCTCTCGGCACGAGGAACAGATCCAAGACCTCCACTTGACGCTCGTTTGGGCCCAAATCCCAAACCAGAGCCTCCAAAAGCCTCGTTCGCGTCTTGGCTGGAATCTGTCCATCTCGTTTCTTGATACCGTCCTCCGACGGCATCTCGCGACAAAATTTGACCATCACCGCTGAGGTCAGTGGATACAGCGTCAATAGCTGTATCTTGCAATGTATCCTCAGCTTCTTGCAGTGCCTCCTTTCGGAACATCCGAGCAAAGTCGGCGTTGCTCAAGCTCTTCGACGACGCCATGGTCAGTTTACGAACTTGTGTACGTATCGTGTGGAACACACCAATGCAGGAGGACGCCAAAATTTATACCTGTTCTCGAAGTTTGTGACAAAATGCGATTTGAGCGCCAGAGCGTTGTTTTCGCATGACAAGGGAGTGTGGGCACAGATCAAACGTTACGACTTCACTCAATGAGCGGCTATGGAAGTGCTCGTAGGCCTTGGCAATACAGAGTTCCGGCGTCGCATTCGAGGCAGCATATATATATATTGCTCGATTCCTTTTTGTGTCAAGCTGCGACGAAACTTGTCGGGCTGCATCCGAGATCGAATTCTTAGCACTTTGTCGGTCAGCTCTCGTTCGACCCGGTAATATTGTCTTTACCAGAGCTTCGGCCTTCGACTACAGAGCGCAACCCATGCAATACACACACTCGATCGAAGTCCTTCTTTGTGGTCCAGCACCTTTTCGGCAAGAATTACTTCCACTACTTTGTTCTCATCGATAATGCAAACGAAGATTGGACAATCGAATGATGGTACACGCTGAGGTGTCAGGAAATGTGATAGCTATACGTCATGGACGGCAAAAAAATTGAAAAAAGGCATTTGAACCTTGCTAAGATGCTGCAACGACGAGTAGTTAAGGCGTCACACTACTTTAGTTTGACGGCTGCTCTCTGCGCTGACCGAGTTGTCAGCGTAGTCGTCAGCGTTGGGGCGCCAGAAACATACATGTGATCTATGCTTTTGTTCTTGTCTTCGTTATTGCTAGTGCGAAGCAGAGTGTACGATTATTGGCTACATTCAGCGGCTACGAAATGACTTCAGCGACGCAGCCGATCAGTGATTCATCCTGGTTGTCACCTAGTCAGCAGCAAACGTGACCAGAACCACCTGCTGTTGCTTTTGTCAGTGAAAGAAACCGACAAAAGAGAACGTTTTTGCAACTCAGTGTTACGTAAGACCATGCAATGATGCATTGAATGATAAGACGCAAGAGAGGTGGGACGCATTCAACAAAGAGTACTGGCAAAAGGCGTATCGATCGAAACTCACTTAGGTCGCCATGGCACCATTGCATCATCATCATCGAAGACATTCCACCACCGCTTCCACGACATTGCTACATGCAACAGCATTCCTCACCAACATCCAGTTCCGAAGACCAGCGGTCAACAACCTTCAGCTCGCATGCCATCCGAACCACAAGCGATCAACTCGATGTCTGGGCAGCCAGTCGCGCACCAGACGTGTCGATTGCAAGAACACCTTCAGCTTCGTCTTCGTACAGTCTTCCGGTGAAGCACTGTCTGCAGCAGCGTCGTGGACTTCGCTGCCTTCGCAAGTTTACTATCGCAGCCTCTTCTGAACAGAAGCTGTGATGCCTTCACGGCCTTCTCCAAATTTCTTACCGTAGAGCCTCTCGTACTCCTCCAAGACGTCTTCTCTAGGTCCTACGCACTTCGCATCATCCATGGTGCACTTGTTCGGGTACTCCGTACCGTCTTCGTCGTACACGGGATTGTACACAGCAGGGCACGAGACGTTGGGACAGCGCGCCTTCGGCTTGTCGTTAGCAGAGCCACCGTCTTTTGGCGCATCGCCCTTGTCCTTTGCATGCTTCTTTGTCGCTGACGAGCTGCCATTTTCCTCACTCGAGTCAGATTCATCGCCATCTTTGTCCTTGACCGATGCCGAGCTACCCTTATGTTCGCTAGAGTCAGATTCGTCTTCATCCTCCTTCCCCTCCTTCCCCTCCTTCCCCTTGTTCTCCTTCTTCCCCTCGTTCCCCTCCTTCCCCTCGTTCTCCTTCTTCCCCTCGTTCTCCTTCTTCCCCTCGTTCTCCTTCTTCCCCTCGTTCTCCTTCTTCCCCTCGTTCTCCTTCTTCCCCTCGTTCTCCTTCTTCCCCTCGTTCTCCTTCTTCCCCTCGTTCTCCTTCTTCCCCTCGTCCCCCTCGTTCTCCTTCTTCCCCTCGTCCCCCTCCTTCTCCTTCTTCCCCTCGTTTTGTCCGTTCAGGCACTTGGCCATCGCCATCTCGCAAGAATTGGTATATTCAATGCCATTCTCGTCGACCACAGGCTCCATCACGGAAAGACAGCTGAAGTCACAAGACGGCTTGGAGCCACTCGCGAGACCGGTCGCATGGATAGTGGTGATGGCGGCAGCTACCGAGACGAGGCCGACAAAGAGCTTCATCGAGAGTGGAGCTCGTCGTGGGAAGTGGTGAATTCGCAACTGAAAAGTCGCGAAAACTGACTGTCGGTCGTGGAATCGCGCTCGGCCGAGCGTGTGGAGCGCGAAAACGCCACGTGCGACTTGGCGAGAGCTGACGAAGGGATAGGCGAGGCCAAAAATGTGCCAGCGGTGCGATGATGTGCATGGTGGACAGGCACTCGAGGGCAGGTATCGAAAGGAAGCGATCGAAGTTTTACGAAGTGCGCAGTGAATATATTCAGGTCCTGAGTTCACAACCTCCTGTTGCTGCTCAAAGCCTACTGGATTCTCTCGGACTCTACGTTAGTAATCGTCTGGTCGCGCATTACTGTTCGTCTAGTCGTACGTTTCTAAGGCAGACAGAGGGTTTCTTACAAACACCCAAGCGTACTAACCATGAGGATGTCACTGTCTGGCAGGACAGTGCTGGTGAACCCCGGCACCCCAGTACCCGAAGGTTTTAACTTTTTCTGCATTCACTGGACATCGACCAGAGACCTCTCTCTCGCAAGGTGTTGCCACACCATACCACTTGAGCTTCCGGCTCTTGTGCGATAACTCATGCCAAGGCGTACTGATGACAACAGTATCAATGCATGTCCACGTGTCGACATACGTGCAGCACGTCTGGATTCTGAATGCAATGCTTACTACGGAAGAGTACAAAGTGGCGTTCAATGCATCAACCATGTCGATCGTCACGCGCAAGTGATCTCACGGCAAGCCTAGCCCAGCTATTACTACCGCCTTGAATGCCAGAAGCTCGACTTGAGCTTTGGGCTATCACCTAATGTCTGTTGACAAGGGAACGCAAGCCTTAACATCGCCTTTCGGGCTTTCATCGCTGCGTGTGGAGCAGATTCTAGGTGAGCGGGAACTTATGACGACTCAAGAAAATAGCAGAGCACGCGTTCGAGCCTTTCGTGCACTGACACTAGTCCAGTTGGGCTCTTTTCTCGAAAGGTGTACTATCGACAAATGTGCGGTCGAGCAGAGGTCGAGGATCGACTGTTGTGGTAAGATCGTCGATTTGTTCCTGTCTACAGTCCCATCATCTTGGACACACGCACGCCCCTCTCGAGTAGTAATGGTGAGCTCAAGAGTAGGACGAGCACTGCTCGTGCGAAAGCTCTGAACTTTGAGAAAGAGGACCCGAAGTCTCGTGCTTCCTGCGCATTTCGCTTTGTACAGGCAAGCACGGGCACTTCGCGGTGATCTCCTGTACGCTACGGTTATCTTGTCCCGTAACTCTTGGCACCTATCAGCCGTCTCTCCGTGCGCATAATTGCCCGCCTGAAGGAGCCTTAGCAATGTCGACGTCGCTAAAGTATCGTATCGCGGCCAGGTTGTCGGGGTTACCTACTTTACCGTCGAGATGCGATCAAATTTGGCCGACGACAGCGTGATGGTATAGCGCCTTCGTCCGCGAATGTATCACTTTGCGTGCGAACGAAGCACAGTGAATAGCCCCTGACAACGTGTCTGAGATACCCATTGTATGGCACGTGGCCATGACGACAGCGCGCTGTTGTCCTGTCGTGCTGTCGTTCGTCGCGAAATTCATCGCGTCGCCGCAAGATCGTCAAGCACTGTCCGCGATCGCTTGTTCGTGTCCAAATATGAGACTAGGACGAGCGGTGGACAGTAATTGACGACCGACTATCCACGCCTCAACCTGCGGCGCAGCGAGCACGTACATTCATGCAGAGTATGGAACGGGCAGAACTGCCTCCCAGCACGTTGTACACGATGGCGCTATCTGGCATCGTAATATGTATCATCTATTAGAGAATGTGTTGCCAGCGACGAGGATGGATACCGCCCAGGTAATATGGTAGAAGAGTCTGCACCAAAAGATTACATATATCAAAACCATATTAATTTTTAGCGTCATGGACATGGGTCTTTCCAGATACGGCGAGCAAAAGGCGGAAACGACTTTGTTAGCATCAATAAATCACGTCGAAATTATCAGTCGTTTTATTTTTTAAGAAATTCATGAAGCATGGCGTCACATATATGCATTTTTCGGAGAGATGAAATCTTCACTTTTTTCACTTTTTACTCAAGTTGTGCTTGCCATAAAAATGCTGGCACGGGTTTTGACGGAATACGGCCTTCATAGCTGGCTCACTTGTAACAACACTTTTCCAGCCTCCACATAATCAAGTCTCACGATTCCTAAATACTTCAATGTATGTCTTCCTAATACGAGGAAGGTCTGATTTTGAATTGGGATTCATCATAGGAGGGCGTAACTCCTTGAAATTGAGAGGTCAGGTTCAAGGAAGACACGGATGTCTAGACCCTATAAGTCTCAGTAGACAGAGTAAAAAGAAAATCAATTTTTGAATGAAGAGAAGTATTTTTAAATCATAAAGTAACAGTATAAAAACATTTTGAGTAACGAGAGGTGAAAGATGATGGTCTTATCCAATATATAAATCGATCCAAGCGTTCCGTAGAAACCTGCCAAGTGGCTTGCCTGGAATCTGTTCTAAATAATTTTGGATTGATATATATTTTCTCCTTACTAATGAGCTCGAGTCAGATCATAACGAGAACTACCCGTTTGCCGATACGACCAATAAATGAAATACATGGGAATGTTGCATCGGCTTGACGATATTTGGCAGGCATAGCGATTCGTTGAGGCCGTTGAGCGTCTTCACGCTAGTGAAGTTGAGTACACCACACACCATCAGGAAATGAGAGTCTTCGTTCGTATGATAAAGTACCATTTGCTTTGCCACTCTTACGACTACTTGTTGTGGTTTATATTTGGTTCCTACCTTTTCTTTCTATTTGACACGTAGTTGAGCTATATATTGTTGCAAGAGAATGAATTTATCATCTGGATATACATGCGAGCGCTACCATAAAGTAAAGTCGTTGTTTGCCTCCTCATTCTTACTATATACCTCGCGATTTTTATCGCCTAGCGTTCAATAAAGTATATAAGAACATGTATCTTCTTTCATTTCGCATGATCCTAAACTTTATTGCACTGGGTCCCAACGGATGTGACTGGATCGTAGTATACATAACGAAGCTTGGGAGGCTTGTCTAAGATACCTAATAGGGTAGACCCAAAAATCTACATCATAAATTATCCGAGTCTGATCATTTGCTAATCTCGGGCTCTGTGGTGATCCTCATATTTGACTTGGCCTGGTGATGTGTGATTAGAGACGAGCAAAAATGATACATGATGTGGTGGTTTTGGAGCTTCTTATGAGAAGGCGCTTACACCAGGCTTAACAGTCGCTGATACGCTGTTGTTAGGTTTGGTGAGTGCAAAGATAACATTTTTTTGGAGTTTTTAAGCCTTACATAGCACGAATTTGAGGGAATATACACGACTGTAAGTCAAATTTAAGATGGCTGTATATTATCCGTAACATTGTCGATACATTCTCGGCTCTGCTTAGAATATACAGTTATTTTAAGATTTTATGTGAAACAGTCAAGTTTTATTCTACTGTATTGCTGCGGGACCATGTACTATTCGCCTGACGATATCTACTCATCATATACCAAGGCTTGTGGGTACCGTATTCCAGAGGGCATTGTCGAGACTTTTCCTCTTTGGTCTTCTTTTTATCTTGGCGAAGTCTGAGCCTAACATTGTCGAATTGAACAGCCTAGTGCTTACTATTATACCAGGCGGGTCCCTCTTGACTCTGGATATGAACATTTGCTGTTAATGAAGAAAAGCTAGTTTATACGTTTTATATGATCCTGGATATAAATGATAATCAAGAAGTAGTTTGCCGATCTTTGTACAAAAATGCATCAAATAATCACAAAAGTAGGAGTGTGAAGAAAATAAGTACAAAATAGGAACGGGCACAATATTATAACGAATAGAGGAACGTGCACTGAAAAGTTAGGTGGATAATACAAACGTACTAAAATATGAAATCGAAAAATGTATCATACACGTAAATTAATACATTGCACGAATCAATAACCATGTAAAAAAGGACCAACGGCATATGCTACACGTATGAATGCAGCATACCTGGGTTTGTTAAGGTACGAAATGCACATTTTTTGTCTTTTATTTTAGTCGGACCATTACTCTTGATTAACAACCATTTCGCTCGTGGAGAAGAGTTGCCTTGAATTCCTAAGATTTGCCTAAATTTTGCTGTGGGTCACCTATAAGATCAAGTTGTTTACTTTCTCTCAATTAGTCTCAACAGAGTCAACATCGGATTTATGTGAGCTGTCTCCATGCACATGCAGTAAATTTAGATGAGAGAGACGGCTTCGTGTTAGAGTGTCTTCTCCATCTTGCCGTGACGAATACGGGCATTATAGACGAAAAAAGCAAAAGCCGGAAGAGGAGATGGATACTATAAAGCTTACTCAACTCGTCGATACCCTTACGGGTCGTTCAGATGCCTGCAGGTATGCGAAGTGGATAGCATGATGATATCGAGGTTACTACTGATATACCGTGAAACGTATCCACCTTAGCTCCATAGTCAGAGGAAGTCTTTTGGACTCGCAGAGTCTCTAATTGCACAAGCATAAACCATATAAGGTCCAGAAACGTTCTAGTCTCTTCGATCTGATAAAATCAACTTTGGTACCCTACAAGCTTATAGCGCTTTATTTCTGGTGGCAGAGAATTAAGAATCGTAGAACCAAGCGGCAGCTCGTGCCTACTGATACGCCTATGGCTCTTTTCTGTTGCGATCAAAGGACCCATAAAAGAGGGACGCGTCACTTATCGATCAAATGGGGAGATGTACATACTACTGTACCGAGATACTGGCGGTAATAAAATTCACCAAGTCGCAGTATCAAGCTTTATTACCTAATCGAGTAATCCTGACGTAGACTATGCCGGAGTATATTACCTCAAGGGCGTCTGTCCACGTACTTATATAGTTCCTTCACGATAGGGTACCTATCCATAACCGATATGGTACGGTACTACCGCTAACGTCTTGTCTGTCACCTTACGCCTACCAGATCCAGTGATCTTTGTGCATGTACCACACAACACCACCTGTCATCAGACCGACGTGTGATACCGTATGCAGAGCACGCAATGCTATTGTAGTGGTTGATTGATACATCAGAAGCTGCTACTATCGTTTATGATTTTAACAATATATTCAGGCATTGCAGATGGATGCTGTGAAGATAGTCGCAACATTGGTATCTGCAATGAAGGCTTTATTTTACACAAGCGTCCCCTCATTTCACAACGAAGATGTAACACAACTCACGTTATTTATGCCCGTTCTTAACGCAGTCGGTCTCTGCACGTTGATGCAGAACACTAATACTCGCGTCGTAGCGTACTTGTGTCGTGTGGCGAAGGTACTTTCGTGTCAACAGCTTTTATGTCGTACACTTGTGTGGTCAATTGAGACCAAAAGACTGATCCGGCATCTTTTTAAATCGCCGAAAAGGCTTTACAATTTGCTGCAGCACTTTATCAGATCTCATCAAAATATCTATATTTATCTGTGTATTTCAGGCATTTGCATATTGCGTTCTCTTGTCTGCATCAGTGGTCCTTTTTTAGTTATTTAATGCATTTTTCATTTCCCTTTATTTGACTAATAGTTTATTAGTTTTCCATTTTTATTGAGCTTGGCCGTGCTTCGTCCAATACATTTGTGTATAAAAGCATCGGTCGCGAACGGTGGCTTTCTAGAACATTAACGCACTAATTGCTGCGGAAGAGTAGACGTTGGCGTGTATTGTCTATGCCAGCCTTGTCGATTGTCGCGCATAAGTATTCTCACGACAAACCTGGTCTAGCTTCATACTACAGTAGAGTCTCCCTTATTTAGTATAGCTGGGACCGCCAAATTTTGCTTAAATCAGGGAATTATTAAATAGCCAAGTTAGGGGGGGGGGGTAGAGTTGAATCGAAAGGTGCTACGTGTTGTAATAAAAGCGCCTCGGCATGATTCTCGCACATGAGCTTGTAGCTCAAGTGGTTAGGTGTGGCAGCACCAAGCGGGAGGTCACCGGTTAGATATCCGGTGGCTGCAGTAAAAAGTTCAAGCCTTCGGGTTGTGGAGTGCCGGGGTCCAACCAGTACTGTCCTGCCAGGCAGTGACGTCCCCCCCTCAAGGTACATGAAGGTGTTTGTAAGAAACACACTACCTGCAGGATCAGGTGGGAAGCTTCAGCAAAAACCCCTGAAGCAACAAACTCTGGACAATTTTTTTCTAGTAGTCCCTCGGCAGTAGTTTAATATTTGTATGGCGAAAATGTCTCTGGCTTTTTTAATAAAAATTAAGAGAGTTTTATAATATTTGGCCTGGGCCCAATTTCGAATCCCAATTAATTCGAAATGTGTATTAAGTAAGGGAGATTATCAATTAGAGGAAATAATAAATACGGAGATTCTACTGTACCGCCTATGATGCCGGAAGCCCGACTTGAACCTTGGGGACGCAAGCCCTAACTTCGCCACTCGGCCTTTGCAGCTGAATGTGAAGTAGAAGAGTCCAGGTGAGCGACACTCGTAACCACTCGGACACATAGTAGAGCACGCCTTCCGGTGTTCATGCGCTGGCAAAGAGTCCAGTTGGGCTATTGTTTAATGGTATACGATATGAATATGTGAGGCCAAGCCGGAAGTCGAGGAACGACAGTTGTAATGGTGTCGTCTATTTGTTGCTGCTAGTCATGCCAGTATGCAGAGCACATGCACGCCAAGAGTAGGACAAGCACAGTGAGTGCTGGTGCAGGAGCGCTGAACCTCGAAATGATGCTCCCGGGGATTTCGTGCTTCCTGCGCCAACTGCATCGTACACGAGTACGAGTAGAGTGCGTGGTCTTGTACGCCACTGTCTTACATACGGGCATAGCCGGCAGCAGCGACGAGATGATCCCATCACACAAGTCGATCCTCGACTTCAGACTTCATCACATGCAGATAGGCTCTTTTTCCCAACAAAAAGAGCCCATCTGGGATCTGCCCGTGCACGAAAGCCAGAAGGGACGCGTACCCTACCATGTTCCTGAGTGCAGTACGAGTCCTCGCTCACCTGGATATTTACTCCGCATTCAGCTGCAAATCCCAGATGGCGACGTTAGGGCTTGCGTTTCGTTCTCGACAGCTGTTTGGTGATGGCCCAAGGCCAAAGTCGGGTTTCCGGCATGGAAGGCGGTAGTAAAGCGCTCGATTGGGTTTGTCGTGAGAATGCTTGCGCGCGGTTATTGACAAGGTTCCCACAGACAGTACGCGCCATGGTGTACACCCCCGCCGCAATGATCGCGTTCAGAATACGTGCAATATATAGACAAAATATCGACCTGCCGCATGTCTGCGATTGACACCTGCCTGGCTATCGTGCGCACTGTCCCACCGCTGGCACATTTTTGGCCTCGCCTATCCCTTCGTCAGCTCTCGTCAAGTCGCACGTGGCGTTATCGCGCTCCACACGCTCGGCCGAGCGCGATTCCGCGACCGACAGTCAGTTCTCTCGACTTGTTCAGTTGCGAATTCACCACTTCCCACGACGAGCTCCACTCTCGATGAAGATCTTTGTCGGCCTCGTCTCGGTAGCCGCCGCCATCACCACTATCCACGCGGCCGCTGTCCTTCCGCCCTGTCCCGATGTGTGCACTCAGGAGTACGATCCAGTCTCCGACGAGACGGGTACGCAGTATTCCAACGAATGCATGATGCGGATGGCCAAATGCGTGGAGAGCAAGGAGGTGGTCGATCCAGTGGAAGAGTACGAGCGACTCTATGGCAAGAAGTTTGGCGTCCCGCGTGATGGTGATGGTGCTGGCAATTCCGCCAACAAGGGCAACAACAGCGGTGATGCGCCAAAAGACGGTGGCTCTGCTAACGACAAGCCGAAGGCGCGCTGTCCCAACGTCTCGTGCCCTGCTGTGTACAATCCCGTGTACGACGAAGACGGTACGGAGTACCCGAACAAGTGCACCATGGATGATGCGAAGTGCGTAGGACCTAGAGAAGACGTCTTGGAGGAGTACGAGAGGATCTACGGTAAGAAATTTGGAGAAGGCCGTGAAGGCATCACAGCTTCTGTCCAGAAGAGGCTGCGACAGTAAACTTGCGAAGGCAGCTAAGTCCGCGACGCTGCTGCAGACAGTGCTTCACCGGAAGACTGTACGAAGACGAAGCTGAAGGTGTTCTTGCAATCGACACGTCTGGTGCGCGACTGGCTGCCCAGACATCGAGTTGATCGCTTGTAGTTCGGATGGCATGCGAGCTGAAGGTTGTTGACCGCTGGTCTTCGGAACTGGATGTTGGTGAGGAATGCTATTGCGTGTAGCAATGTCGTGGAAGTGGTGGTGGAATGTCTTCGATGATGATGATGCAATGGTGCCATGGCGACCTAAGTGAGTTTCGATCGATACGTCTTTTGCCAGTACTCTTTGTTGAATGCGTCCCACCTCTCTTGCGTCTTATCATTCTATGCATCGTTGCATGGTCTTGCGTAACACTGAGTTGCAAAAACGTTCTCTTTTGTCGGTTTCTTTCACTGACAAACGCAACTGCAGGTGGTTCTAGTCACGTTTGCTGCTGACTAGGTGTCAACCAGAATGAATCACTGTTCGGCTGGGACACTGAAGTCATTTCGTAGCCGCTGAATGTAGCCAATAATCGTACACTCAGCTTCGCACGAGCAATAACGAAGACAAGAACAAAAGCATAGATCACATGTATGTTTCTGGCACCCCAACGTTGACGACTACGCTGACAACTCGGTCAGCGCAGAGAGCAGCCGTCAAACTAAAGTAGTGTGACGTCTTAACCACTTGTCGTTGCAGCATCTTAGCAAAGTTCAAATGCCTTTTTCCAATTTTTTGCCGTCCATGACGTATAGCTATCACATTTCCTGACACATAAGCGTGTATCATCATTTGATTGTCCAATCTCCGTTTGCATTATCGATGAGAACAAAGTAGTGGAAGTAATTCTTGCCGAAAAGGTGCTGGACCACAAAGAAGGACTTCGATCGAGTGTGTGTATTGCATGGGTTGCGCTATGCAGTCTGGTGCCGAAGCTCTGGCCAAGACTATACCGCCGAGCCGAACGAAAGCTGGCCTACCCACAAAACGTTCAGAGTTCCACCTCGGTCTCTTTACAACAATCAGTGGAACCTGATGCATCAGGTATTCAAGCGAACCGCAAATACACGCACAGACAATGGCAAAGCTTGATATCGATCATATTCACAATCACTTACATAGTAGCGCAACAAGTGGCGTAGCAACTTTTGCTATGACGGCGCTCTCCGTACTTTATGAATGCAGATATAAATTGCACTAGATCGGCAGGTGGTCGGTTTTGCATCGCAAGACACGAAAATGCACCATTCCTCAAAATATAAAAAATGCACTAACGATGACATTGCGCGTTCGAACACATACGTGCGTAGAATCACATAGGACACATCAATCGATTTTTTCGATGACTTTTATGCATAGATCTAAAGAAATTGGTAGCGGTTGAGCACTCCCGGCGATTGAAGGCTGTCGGATCGATCATTGCATCCATTGACCAATTCTTTGCTTTTTTCCAAAGGCTGTCGGATCGATCATTGCATCCATTGATGGCACGCAATAATCTTTGCCACGATGTGCTTTAGTCAAATAACACAAGCATCTAAACATGTCACGGTCAAGCGTCTCCATCTAAATAGTAGCCCGAATACTTTTTAAAAGCACTTTGATTGCTGTGACGCATAGTATTGCCCTGCTTCGGTTGCACGGTAGACGTCCGTTGCGTAAACCCTTTTTTCGCTATTCGTGTCGATTTATTTGTCAATGTAGTCTAAGCAGGATAGTGTTACCACACAGCCGCAATGCTAAGTGTATCTCCGACGCTGCAGTGCGAAGAGACAGTATGAAACAGGAGGGACCGTTACTATCGATGCATACAAGCTATGTAGTCAAGTATATCTGCGTTCATCATGCAAATGCTGTCGTCGGCAAGCATGCGCCTATCTTCAAGATGCCATTCTATAGACGCTTTCGGTCATGCCGCATGTGTTTCTTGTTTTGTTGTCAGCGCTAGTACTATTTACATGCAGCACGATAGTCTTTACCTTCATTGCTTTACTAGCATCTGTATGACCACTAGAAATAGCACCAAAGCGTTTCTGGCAGCTCTCCAGTATATCCTCTGTTCTTGTTGCCTTTTTACGGTTTCAATGTCGCCTTTGATCGTACCCTATACATCCAATACATCATCGTTTCCGCGCGTTTTGAATTGGCGCTGCGTCTTTTCATCCCGAAAAACGGTTCGGCAAGACGACAGCTACATACGTTACTGTAGTGTCACACCACTCAGATGTGGATAAACAACATAGAAGGAACGCACCCTTACACCCGAATGATACGCAGCATTGTTAGGATACGCTTGAAGTGTCAACGTACCTTTTACCAATTGCGATATGATTGGCGACGGAAAACGTCGAGAAGGTTGTTGATGGACGAAGTAAACGAGGGAATGAAGATGATTTACGACAATGAACATGAACGATCCCCGTTATGTGTATATCCGATCGTATAGAATACATCGTTGGTGCATTTATTTTGGTGCATTTTTACCTTCTCATCTTGTGGTGCATTTTTTTCTCGTAATTATCTGGTGATATATACGTATTCCTTTCTGTCATATCTTAGCGGTCACAACATGAGTTTGATGGACCCCCAACTCAACATCTACCAGAGGCTGTAACGTAGGGGAGAAAATCGATCGGAGGGAGCAAATAAGACTCGTCTCTCAGTTCTGGATAACCAACAAACTCGTCGGAGTATGCTGCAATGCCATCGATGACGCATACTACTGTGTTGCAAAGCAAGGGTTGATTGCAGTAGTTACCACGTCACAACGATATGTTGTTGTTTCGAGCACGGATAGCAAAGCTATTGGTGAGTATGCGTCAGGAAAAAGCCGGACTTCTAGACAGCTTCTATCTGTGTGTCCACGTTTCCATCTTGCATCTGACGACCTACAAGCCCCGCACGCGCGGTCACGTAAGAGGCTTACGAGATGTGAAAAGGCACAGAGCAAATACGCAAAGGCTCGACATTTTGGAGCAGTGAGATCCCACACCTACACAAAAGTCACCACCACTACCACCAAATCAAGAGGCATCATTACGAGCATCAACTGATTACGTAGCGACTCCACCGGCAATAGCTAGAACGGGGAGAAGTCTGGTGTCTATAATTACGCCAAATTTCGTGAGATGCCGAGGAGTAACAACGTCGTTTAGAAAGGCGCCGTGCACAAAGCCCTCGCGTCAGACATATCTCATCTTTGAACGTGGCTGATACGAATGCTCATCGAGAACATCCAGCGGCAGATATTGGCTGATACGACATTCAGCACCTTCTTCTTTTTTCCGCCGTTTCTTCTTACCTGTGTGATAGTGCAGATTGAGAGCTGGGCGCGCAGCGGAAGTGTGTTCCCAGAGACTAGCACGCTTTTCTTGCGGCACATCAGTGCGTTGTTGTCGAAGTTAGCATTCAAGGAAGACTCGAATACCAATGGACACATGATGGTCCAATGCAGCACCCAAGAATGAGTTGTTCGCTACCTATTGACAAACAACATAGTTGCACTAATAATGCCCGTCGACATCTATAACGCTATCTTCATTTGTAATACGTGAATAACGATAACGCTAAGCATTGATGACTGATGTCGCTGCTCGAAGCAAGAACTACTCGCTCTTTGACTTCTCCTCATTATCAAACACGTTCATGTTGCCCGTCGCATTTTTGTTGTTGTTCTGTTTGCACAAGAAAAAGCAGCTGCTGTCTGCATTTGATCGTATTCTTGTGGTACATTGGCAACGCGAAACGAGTTGCTTCATCATACAACAACCACGTACAGCCCATATTTCGCCATTGCTCCCCCATCTGAATGGGCACGCCATATCGGAATCTTGATTCAACTCTCTGGACTGGATTGCTTCTAGCAAGGGACCGGCTACAGAACGCGCTTTTTGATCCCGCTGCTGCTGACCTTCTCGCGCCGCAGTGACTTCTGCACCATTCGCATTGGTAACAGACACCGTTTATCTGGTCAGGACGTGGTCATTTTTTGTCGATTTTGGCAGCTTCTCTTTTGATTCACATTGCCATTCTATCATCGATGCCACTGCAACATGCACATGGGAATCTGTTTACTCGCCGCTTATTGGAACGTTAAACGCAACCATCACTTTCTGCATGGAAGGAAGCGGTAGTGATGACGCGTCCTTCCTGTTCACTAGCTTCCGTAACCCTCAGTATATCGGAGGAAAGAGGACGTTGCAATGCTCAGCTTCTGTCATGAAGGACGATTGTGTGGCTGTATATAAAGTCGGTGGATCTTACAAAGTAAACAAGTAGACTACCTCCCGTAGTTTCCTGTCGACGTTAGTACCGAAACTGCCTCCGTGCGCAATGCAATCGGCACAACGGCCGACTAGCAGATCCAGCTGCACACGTCCTCGATTCGTTGCCTGCGTCATTTTGTAAGCTTCTTGTGTGTGGTATTCGAAATCAAAGATTTGTTTCATTACGCTTATGCGGACACTGATTTCGGCAAGTGTTGCGTACACTGCAAATCAAGTGTTGCGATGCCGATGGGTCCAATACGCGCCTATGCCGCCACCATCGTCAACCCGACGAAAGCTGCAGTGTGACTGGTCGCAGAAACGGTCTGGCAAATGTCATTGTGTAGGTCGGACACGTGTTGCGACCACGTATCTTCGTACCAATCTACAGCTGGAGCGTGAGACTTACCTATATTTTCTGATTATGCTTATGACCACACGGGCTGCTCTTGTCTGCCGCAAAGCAAATTGCTCGTGCTCTGTATCGTAGGACGTGTGTGACTGAGCCACGAATACGTCCGTCGCTTGCGACAAAACGCCAAATATTTCTGTGCTACCTCTCGTACCCACAAAAGCATCTTACCAACGACGACCCCCCATATCGTCACTACGGCGGTCGCCCCAGCGCGAGCTCTGCCGAGGACGACCTCCGCTACCTGAGTACGGTGCGCCCGAACGCTGAGCAAATGGCCCACTCTTGCTGTCGTTGCGTTGGTATGAACCAGGGCGGGAGGGTTTCGACGACGCGACAACTAGCGCCTTCATCTTGAAAAACTGCAGCGCCTGAGACAGCGTCGGCAAGATGGACGACTCAATACGGCCAAAGAACCGATAGCCTCCTGACTTCACCTCCAAGTGACAACTGCGAGGCGTTTCGCGCGCAATGTATGTGATCGAGAAGCAGCCCGGGAACTTGCTGTACACGTGAAGAGCGTACGGAATGCGCGACGGGTACTCCTTCTTCTGTTTGATCAGGTCCTCCTCGACGCTTTCCTTCGAAGCACTTTTGTAATACTTGTAACGAACCACATCATCCACCAAGCAGTTCATTGGATCCACGAAACGAGCAATCAGCTCGTCGATGTTCTCGTACTTCTCTTCCTTGACAATCAGTGTTTGACCAATACGGGCTTCGGATGGTTTGTCTTGTTCTTGGACATCGAAGTGACGATACACGCCATCCAACATCTTCCAAGTTAGCGTGAGGTGGTCAGAGCCGAACGTGCTAGGGCGAATAACCACCTCTCCAACCGGTTGTTCGCGCAGATACTGTATGGCTGACTGGCAGTTGATGTTACGAAACAACGGATGCGCGATCTGCCGTTTTTTACGTCTTGGCCCATGACCACCCGGTCCGCGAGTGGCTTGAGCGTATGCCACCGCTTTGTCTTCATCAACAGGCGGTTCATTCAATAGACGATCGACACGCTCCATGCTATCGCTTTCAACTAGCTTTTCGTTTGTGTATCGTGGAAAGCGCTCTGGATAAAAGCACAGGGACATGTTGATCAGCGAGCGGCGATTACAGCCCAGTTTCAACTCGTAGCGCCCTTCACGGTCTGCTTGAATCGCCAGAATCTTGGCGTTGACTGTAATACCTTTCGGAAAGCTTTGGGGACGCACGTCGATCAAATAGTCTGGTAAGTACTCGCGATGCAAACTTGAGCGCATGCCGCTCTGCAAACGAACGCGAACGAACTCGTCGCCTGACATGTGCAGCAGTGAAGCAGGCACAATCATTCCAACACGCAGCGTCTCTCGTGTTTCGCCATTAAGCAGAAAGAAGAGGTCTTCATCCTTTGGCACCTGGTATTTGACACGCTTGTCGAAGTAAGGATATCGCAGCTCTCGCTTGATGTACTCCAGCGTCAACAGCTTGGGACCCTTCTTTTGCAGCTCTAAGCGACCTGCGTATGCAGACAGATCCAGCTCAGACAGCACATCTTGAATTTCTGCGTCGCCGAGGCGAGTGTTCGGGGAAGCATTTCGGCTTCGAATCGCAGACGCTGACTGGTACATCGTGTCTTCCACTGCGTAGGAATAATGGTTCGGGTCGTACATATCAATGGTCGAGTTGTTATTAGCGTCACCACAAATCTTCACCGCCATGTAGTAACTTTCCGGGTGGATGCGTGTGTCGTCCAGCGGGTTCAGAGGAGCTTCGCGCAACGCGTCACGCTCACGAATTCGGATAAAACCAGCACAATTGCGGTACACTATTTTGCCTACAAACCCCTTCGATAGCAACTCCTGACGTCGTTCGACATAGTTTTTTGCCCGAACTTTATCCAGTACAGACGCTGCCTTCACAGGACCCATGCCGCAGATAAACTGCAGCTGATACGACGTATGCTTGTGGTTGGCTAACAGGTTGATGTCAACGCCGTACTTGTTGACCATCTGAACAAACACGCGATCATACTCCTTTAGCAAAAGGTCCTTCACAAGAGAGTGCTGCATCATATGAACGTTCAGAAAAAGCAGTTCGCGACCGCGACTAGGTTCGTTCAGCGCAACGTTCCCCCACATTGCACAGAGCTCGGACGCAGGATTCCTGAGGTAACGTCCGAGACCGATCGCAGCACGCACATATTCCGGTTCCTCTGGGAATTCCTGATCTGCTCGAGTAGAGCGGCTGAACATGCTTGGAACGTCATCTTTCAGGAAAACGATGTCCAGAAAATCGTGACCATCTCCGTTTCCAAAGCGCGAAGCATCATCGCGGCCTAACAAGCGCCGAACCTCATCAACTACGCCGCCCATATCCATACACTTCATACCGGCCGACACGTTAATCACTACGACATGCGTTTGAGCATGCTCAGTCAAAAACTTTAGCAACGTAGCAGACAACTTCTGGATGCTATTCACGTCTCGTTTGCAGTATCCCTCTGTCTTGTCCACGACTTCCCCATTCACATCAAGAGCCACAATTTGTGCGATCGAGTCCATAGTACTTTCGACCCAGATTGAAACTATGAACGGATCCACGCCATCGGCTGGCTCGTACGGACGGACAGACAGCCGTTCCCGGAGCGCATTACCGCATACTTTTACGATCACGTCACGAGAAGCCACCGTCAGATCTCTTTTCAGTTCGTTTTCAAACGACGATATCATGAAATTATTAATCGCCTCCTGAAGAACAAGATGACGTTGGCTCTGCCATTCCTCGTCCGAGCCGTTGCTTGGCAACATATATATGGGCTCTAGCGGATCCATCAAGTCCTGGGCTTTTTCATTAATGATCAAGATTTTTAGCAGCCCTTCCTTTTCGGCTCGGGCAATCTTCAACCACAGGTCGCCCGCTTCAAACACCTCAAGCACCGGCATCTTCTCGATATACTGCAAGCCGTGACAGTAGTGGAACTCGTCAATTTCTTCGCGGCCCTTGGCAGTAGCTTCTGTGCTCATAACAGCGTTCTGGCGATACAGCTCACGAATGCACTTCCGCACGTTGGGCTCGGCTGCAACTTTGCTGGCGGCAATGTGACGAGCACCTTTCATCACGTCGTCCACTGTCGGAAACTCTTTTGTCGTATACTTTTGGGCCAAAACGCCGGGACTATCTTCCGGAGTAGGCACATTACGAATCGGGTCGTCGTGTTCGACGCCAGCCACTATGCCACCTAGTACAGACGCATTCATCGTAAACGCGAGGGACACTGGACGCAATCCTGCCTTTGTACAGATCTGGTAGAATGTACGGCGTACTGGACGACGGTACTTATGATCTGTGCCCTCCTTGTCCTGACCGCTTGATTCCTGTGCATCCAACGCAAAAAACTCGGACAAATCCTTGTACGTCTTTTCGTCGGGCGTGCGAAATAGTTGCTCGTAGCATTTGCGCACAAAAGCCGACTCCTTTGCATCAGAGGAGTCAATCACGCGCTCGATACCACTCTGGAAAGACCGACGCTTGCGCTCCAACTTGTCCCACTTCACGTCGAGGTCGAGAATTTCGTACAAGTTTTCCGTATGCAAACCCACGACTTTCCAATATTCTTTGCAGTAGCGCTGGACGAATGCCGGCTCAAGCTTTTCGTCGTGGTAAAAGCGCAATACCGTATCAATTGCAGATACAATTTCGCCCCGCGATGCGGCAGAGTTGCGCTGATTCCTTTGCTCCAGGTTCCTAATGATATAGTCACTGATCCACTCAGACTCCTCGGCGCGATCCTCTGCATCTGGGAAGTTGCGCATTTGGTAGATATACTGATATCGCTCCGGCAAATCCGTGTCACGCACGGCAATCACGTCTGACGTCATCATGTGTTCTTTTAGCACACTTGGCTCAAACTTCTCCAGCAAAATGGCCTTTCTCGACTTCAGAGGTGCTTCATCGGGAATCCGACCGCCTGTAGCTTCCATGAACCCATCCATGTCTCCAAAGAGCTCCTCAGCTTCTCCCATCTGATACACCGACGGCCCTTGCATAGATGCTGGAATCGGTTCTTGTTTTCTGCGCCGGCGCGGACCCTCACGCCCTTCTTCATCGTCATCCACAATGAACTCGTCGATATCGTCGCTTTCGTATTCGTCGTTGCCCAGATAATTGTTTGCGCGTTGTGGCGCTGAGCTTTCCTCTTCCTCATCTGAATCGCCGAACATGCGGTAACTAAGCTCACGCGACATGAGTCCCGAGTCGTCCTCGCTCTTGACCTTACGGGACGAGCGCCCCACGTCTTCGTCGTCGCTGTCACTACGTGTCGGACCCGTGTCCATGCCCATATTTTCGCGCACAAGTAAAAGATCCTCGTCGTCAATCTCTTCGACCTTTTGCTTCAGTCGTTTCAGCTTCTTCTCTTTCTTCCGTCGACGACGTCGGTGACGAGCTGAAAAGTGTCAACATGGTCATTGCACGTGTGTGTGTGAGAGTCTCTCTTAACGATCCAAATCGATAACCAGCTGCCAGAGACACCGACCATAGCAGCTACACCAAAGAGGTTCTTACCCATATCTTCTCCGTCCGAGTTCTCGTCCTCGTCATCGACCACAAACCCGTCGTTCTCATATTCGTTGTGGTCTTCTCCGTCGTCGTCGTCGTCCTCGTCGTCATTGTCCGAGCCGGCACCACCTCCTCCTTCGCCGTCATCGCTCTCAGACGCCATGTCGTCGATAAACGAGGACGTCGGGTTCTGCTCACAGATAGTGATGTGTCAGCGAGTAGTCCAACACGTCGACGACCGAAGAGCTAACGTGACCAACAGACGCACCTTGTCCTCGTCGTCGTCGTCGCGGGCGGAACGTCGGGCGTGCTTACTCTTGCTCTTCTTGCTCTTCTTGCTGCTGCTACTGAGCTTGCGCTTCTTGCCGCTTTCCTCCTTCTTCACAGCGTCCGAGCCTGAGTCCGACACTGTGGGGGAGTCGGCCCCGAACATTTCCTCTGCCACAGGCGACAGCGACGCACACGCACACACGCACACACACACATGTCAGTATACGAAGAGGATCGAGACAGAGAGAAGGCGCAGGAGACGAGTGTTGGCGCACCGTCTGTCGTCGTCATCGAGAGCGTCTGCGCACGTCCGTCGCGCTCCTTCCGAGTTCCTCACTTTCCTTCCACCCAATCACGTGCCGCCGGGTCACGTCTGGTGCCTGTCTAAACGAATAGGAGAGGGGCTGGACTTCCATGATTGGCTAAAACGATGCAGGCTGTCGGTATGTGTTTTAGCCACTCAGGACAGTCGTCGCGGCAGCGCACGTGTACTTTACCAACGTAATCATTCGCGCGAGGAAGTTCGTGACAAAAAGTGTCCGTCCTAAGCAGTAAACCCAATTGACTCGCACACGTTGTGTGCAGCGGACGGATCGATGAGCTGCCGATGTGATTGGACGACAGGGAACTGCGACGGACGGAGCCGAGAAAGATACGTTGGCGTCCAGTAGGAAGGCGCTGGCGTAGTCGCGACGATTAGAGGCAGGAGGGGTCTTACACTGTGTCTGCCACTTTTGCACTGTATCTACGACACACGTCGTTATCTGTTGGCTACAAACAAACCAGTGCCTTCGACGTGCCTCTGTGCTTTTTCATTGCTTGCGACAACAACGATCGCGTTTTGTTCTGCCCGATATGAACAGGGGCCGCGTCTGTACTCGTAGAACGGAAGTGATAGCTCTCGAGAGCTCGGGGAACGCCGGGGAATGCTCTCCAGCATTGACGAAGCCCTCGACTCTCACCCACTCTGTGGATCCGAAGATGATGAATATCGGTCTGCTGCAGAGACCTTGAGCCAGCAACCGGTCGATTACCACTGGGTGAACGGGTACTGACGCTCGTCCTTCTTGGGCGGTGGCACGAAAAGAAGAAGCCATTTGGCCACAATCGTGGGACTGACGTATCGATGTGGTGAAGGTAAACAACAAATCGTGGCTTTGCAGAAGTCCTCGTGGCAACGCACGGATATGGTGTTGCAACTGCTGGAATCGCGTGGGCAGTGGAATGTGATTGCTTTCACATTGACGGAGGTACACGATACATCGATGCAGGCGGCTTTTCGTTCCAGGTACACGCGGTTCCACCAAGCTGTCTGGTTTGTGTAGTCGATGATCAGCTGGATGAATGCGAAGCAGGAATCGACACCACATTCCCTTCTGATATTCTATCGGCCTAGTGTTTGCGGGGCGAGTGCTTGGTCTGAAGCGGACATGTTCACCGCTCGATCATGCGTTCTTCACATGCCAGAGTCATTGCGAAGCTCAAGATATGCGTTGATAACAGAGGGGAGCGCCGTTGACAAGTGGGTGTGAGTGATGACAAACAAGAAACCGCGGCGCGTAGGTTCAGGTGGACATGTCAGTCGGTGATGCCAGCTCTGTATCCAAGAAGGGCTCATTGCTGCTCGTTACGAGAGTCTACGACCATTTCGCACCTCAATCGTTGCCGGCTGTTTAACGTGATGGCTCGTTTCGATCTGACTGTGCAAAGTGGAGCTTCCGTTGTCCCGAATCTGACCGAAACGACAATTGCTGTAGAGTATTTCTCAGGTCAGCGAGTTGCTCGAAGCACTTTGCTTGCATTGTGCCAGCGAAGCGTCGGAGACTGATCCGGTGCCATATCGAACGCATCATCCGTTCTATCTTCGAGGTATGTGTAGGTAGGTATCAATTAGGCTGATGGACAATACTACGTGACTTTCTTGGCCAGATTCTTGAAGCCGACACCCAGACAGGACAGCAGCACCGTCTTGGTCTCCGGGTCGGGCTTGATTTTGAACGTGATGCCGAAGAACTCGCGCAAATGACGCAGACACGCGATACTGTGTGGCGTCAACTTGCCGAAACGCACCTTGGCCACATCTTCCGGGCCCAACGTCATCAGCATCAGCACGAGAGCCTGGTTCGACGAGTCCACACATCCACCCCGGCTGATCTCATCACATAGGGCATGCGAGGCTCGCGTCGCCACATCTTCCGGCAAGTCGCCAGGTTCAGCCGCCGATTCTGCGCCGAGAAAGATGCCAGTGGTCGTCTCCGCCACGAGACTGAGGGCAAAGCCTGGTGACTGTCCTGACTCTGCGCCCTTGTAATGGTCGGAGTAAATGTAAACGTCCGGCAGGAGCTTGTTAAAGAGGCCGCGGCCAGTCTCCACGATACGATTGGACGTCTGTGGAGACACGCGCGTGCTGTAGGCGACGCCACGAATGCGTTTGATAAACCCTTCATCGACCAGATGCACAGCTCGCAGCTCTCGCACCTGTGGACACCGGAAGATGACCTGTCCTCCTCCGAGCGGCGGAGCGCCGCGCTTCTTCACGACCAGGTCCAGGCCTTCGTCCAGCCCAAAGTGTTTCAGCAGCGGCAACGTCGTGGCTTTGAACGTGTCCACTGAGGTGTCCACGTGATCGTTCGTGATACCGTCCAGCGTCACGTGCAGCGGCAGCTTCGCGAACGGAGCCAGTGCCGCCAGCACCTCCAAGAACCACCCGATTGCGCGTCCTGTACCACAGTCGTGGACGACGCGGCCACCGAGGAGAATGCCGGGCTGGAACTTGAGCTTCGTGCCGGTTTCATTGATCTCCAAGTGACTTCCGCTCGTCACGCGGTCCAAGAGCCGCAGGAGACTCGCCTCGAACGGTGCGAGGCCCGGGCTCTCGTCCTCCGACCGGATGTCCTCAATGACCAGAGGCCTTCCGCTCAGTGCTGCGCATACGAGACGCTGCCGGAAGTGCGCGCAGCCCTGGAACCGCAACAGACCGCCAGGGTGTCGACCAGCACGAGGAGCCATTCTATTCAGAATTGACTGGAGCGGAACAGCTTTCGTCGGCAGCTGATAACGCGGTCTGCAAAAGCTGTTAAAACAAAAAGGGCAAGTTCGTGTAGCCAAGCTGGAACAGCAGCTTTCTGGCGAGTAAAGCTCTTTTTACGTATCTCTTTTTATAAGGGTAAAGCTCTTTTTTACGTAGCGTTTTTTATAAGGGTAATATAAATATGCGTCGAAAGAAGAAAAAAAGAAGGCAAGGCGCTAAGAACGTAAAAAAGATATACGAAGAATGTGTACCGTCCGCACGGTATCGTAAAAATATGCGCTTGCCCGCGATGATGCTGAGGCATACTGACTGTGCTGTTGATGATTTTCATACAAACGTGGTGGCAATGTGAAAGCGAATGATCGATTGCTGTGGTCGATTCGTGACGGACTGGCGTTTCGGTTTGCTGTTCACTTGATGCTTCAGCACGAGTTATTTGACGTGTAAAAACATCTGTTGCATTGTACTGATCAGCTATGATGCAGTATTCCGTGTTTCCGCAGAGAGACCAACATGTTGGGATTCAACATGATAAGTTTTTATAGGAAGCTGTGCTACATGTTTGTTGTGGACCGAGAGAATCGAGCTACATACGCATGTGTGTACAATCATCTTCACTACAGGCAGCGATATTGCATCCATCTCCGCAGCTTCTAGACTGCACTACTAGATCAGCAAGGGCACAACTACCACAGTTGGCATTTTCTTGTGATGACCAGAACACTGCATCACACCGCGCGCTCTATCAGCGTGCTTTCTCGTTTTCGTCCTTCCGTGTCCGCAAGCGTCTACATTAACACCTTCGATAGCACCACAAAGTTTGTGTCATCTCTTCTTTGCTTTGCTTGCTCTAGTTTAGCTATCTTTCGTACGCCGTCGTCTTGTGCTATCTCATCTTGTAGTCCATTCTTTATGCTCGTGATGATGCGATGCATTTTATCCAAAAGTGAAAGTCTAGATTATGTGAGAATATAAGTACCCTCCATGATGTTGCTGCGGCGATCTTGGCGGAAGTAGTGATGGTGCAGTCGTAAAATGTAGACGCATCTTTTGCGTACTTCATTAGCTTCTTTGACACCTCTTCGCCGTTTCATTATGGAGTGAAGCACTGCATGAACATGACCAGGCATTCTCACATTGACTCATACCGTCCAAGCCGTTCAAACTCCATTTCTTCTCGTTGGTCATGATCACATTGGATCAATCGACGGTCGTCATGGCGGTACAATCGTCACATCACTTCATTCGCGCAGACGTAGAGAGCGTCACAGCGGTGGCATAGGTACCAAAATGGGGTATCGTATCCTTTGCTGGCATCCCCGGCGCCCCACGATACATCCAGTCGTGAGAATGGTAAACAAGATAGTCATCAATGCTGCGAGAAAGAACCAGGTAGCCTCGTTTAGAGGCTACCAGAACGTGTGGGACAAAAGTCACTGACAGGAATGCAAATGTTTATAAATTACTGATGCCAGTCAAATCAGCTTTTTGCATGGGTGAGTGACGGTGCGTTGTTACCCCGAATGTAGCTGCTTCCCATGTTTACATAACGACTCATTCATACTTAGCATGCAACTTTCGCACGTATCTGTCGTGCTAGCAGAGATATCAACAGGAGCTACCAACGTCACGTTTTGGTGGTACAACTTGGGCCTTAGCGCCGACGAACGACTCATCGGCGCGACTACATTTCATTGTATACATGACGTCTTACATGAGTGTCTCCTGAGCGTAATCTTCGTCGCCGTCTTCACCCCAGCACGATGGTTTTCCCTTTCTCCATCGCTCCTCGAGATTCGGCATCGTGCACTCAAACAGAGGCTTATGTAGCTTACGGTTCACAACGTTGTGCTGTTCGCACAGCCACATCGAGAACGTCGTACGCGACTCCACACTATGCCATACAAAAAAGAGCACCCCTTACGCATCAGAGATCGATTGACAGAACAATTCTTTCACACAAGTTACCGTGGCGGAGACTTGGCAATCTCTTTCTGGAAATCGTCGGCGCAATGCACGCACGGATACATCAGCGCCAAAGTCTCGATGAAGCTCTTGGCTTTGGCCTGATACTCTGGCGACGGCTCGTCTGGGTAGTAAATTCCAATCGAATGCAGCTGTGAATAAGCATAAGTACGATCAGATCTACAAGCCGCCGTTTTTTATCAAGAAACACCACGCGCACCAGTCCCCACGTAGCAGTGCCCAGCTCCTGCCGGTCCAATGGGCACTCCTTGGCTAGTGTCGGATGCGCGGCCTCTTTCTTGGTCTTCTTGCCAGCTGACATCTTGAAGAAGCTCAGCTTGTCGGCGCACGCTGGCTCCACGCAGGTCGGGTCGCTCGCGGGTGCCATGGCTTGAGAATAAATTACCTACCGAGGCGAGGTGCCCGAGCAACTTCTGCGCAACTTCACGAATATCGTATTTCAGCCAGCACCGGATCTTCCGTCGTAGAATAGTCCAAAAAAGACTTTTGCGAGTGCTTCATGTCAAATTGTGTCGGACGACAGCGTGGCCGCAAGTCGCGGAAATTCCGTCCGAGACGGACCTCGTAGAATTGATTTATGACGTTGCTGAATGGGGAGAGCTGTCGACACAAGAAATATGACACGCTTTGACTACTGTTTTTGTAGGTGTAAGTACAACCGTCCCTACATATTAGACCCTGTATGGAGGGTTAAATTCCTGTTAAAGGAACTTCGTGTCCCGCACCAAGCTGCGTCACTTGGTTTTTGTATGCTGACTCTATATAAGAGACTGAAGAAATAGGGTACTAAAACAACGCGCACCAACCACCAGTTTCCCTGTATATTGGACTTGCCACAGTCTCGCATTGCCTGCCACTTTGCACATTTGCTTTCGTTCCACCTCAAGCATGTCGTCAAAGCAAACGATTCCGACGATGGAGAAAAAGCGTCAGGTGCAGGTGCACATCACACCAGGCATAAAACTATTCCAAATACAAAACTGGGTCAGGGAGAAGCTCGGACTTCTAATCTCCACAACGGCATCAGAACGGATTCATCAAGCACCAGCCAACGCATTCCTTGCCACAGACATAAAACGCAATCGAAATGTGCTGTTTCCAGAGTTTTAGGCTGCGTTCTTTGCATTATATCGTCTCAATGACGGCAAATCGTTTCCCACAGACGATCTAATACTAGAAGAAGGTCGCTCAATCCGGGCCGCTCAAGGGATAAACGAGAACGACCTGCGGCTTTCGAATGGGTTGCTGCACAAATTTTAGACTCGACACGGCATCCAGCAGCATGTGCTTCACGGCGAGGCAGACTCAGTTGATCGCGCTCAACTTGAAGTGAAGCGAATGCAGCTTAGAGAGCTGATTGGACAATACATACCACGAGATGTATTCAATTTTGACAAATCAGCTCTCTTCTATCGCCTACCTCCAAATAAGACACTGGAAACGGTCAAGCGCAACGGAAAGAAGTCAGAGAAGGATCTTATCACAGTCGCAACGTGCTGCAACATGAAAGGGACCGGGAAGATGGATCTCGTTGTCATAGGCAAGTCGAAGCAACCACGAGCATTTCGCAAGGCCAACACAAAGCAAAGGAAATTTTTGTACTTCACAACCAGACTGCGTGGCAAAACAGGTCAACGTTTGCTGAGTGGCTCCGGCATTTTGATGCCAAGATGCACGGGAAGCGAGTGTTTCTCGTGCTTGACAACGCATCGTGTCACTATGGCGCCGCTGAATGCTACAATGTCAAGCTGGCATTCCTGCCGCCAAATATGACAGCACACTTGCAACCGCTCAACGCAGTAAGTTAAGATGGATGTTCTCTTGACCAGCAATTTCTCACGTGTTTTTTCTAATAGGAATTATACGTTATTTAAAGCGCGGTATCGAAAGAAATTTGTTCGATGGATCCTGGATGCAATCCACACCAGAATCGACCGTAAGTTGAATATCATGTAGGCTGTGCGCTTTGCTATATCAAGCTGGGAGGAGGTACCTTAGCAAGCGATTCGCGACTGCTGGAGAAAGCGTGCTATCGTGGGGGAAGTAACGATGGCCGATCTCACCCAACTACGCGACTACAACAAACGCATCGATGGATCTGTTGAGGACGAGCTGACGAAGCTCATGGAAGGCTTGACTTGCATCGTCAGTGTCGTCGATAACATCGGTGCGGATGATGACGAGCCGACCGAGTGCGACTCAGACGTGATAGAGCATGAGGCGATTGAGAACGACAATGATGGTGACAGTGCCGATGAGGTGAAGATTGGGCCATCCGAGTCTCTAGACTGTTTTCTCCGACTGTCATCATTTCTTTCGCTACAGCATGAAAGTGACGAATTGACGAAGAAGCTGACACGTATCATCAAGCACGTTAGACAGCAGAGCTCGATGCGAAAGACCAAGTTTACCATGGATGCAATTCTTAGAATGGGTTCAGATTGACCGTCCATGTAAGAGCGATTTATATAAGAAGCGAGGCAAAACGCCACACATTTTGGTCCTCTATATGGAGGGGCAAATGTATAGCACTTCCGTAATTTAATGCCTGCGCTGAGACCATTCCATAAAATTGATTCGCATGTTTTAATTTCGAATGTTATTCGTTTAGATAACATTCAATCAAAATTACTCGAGAAGATGTAATGGTGGCGGAATATTACCCTCTAGGGGAAATATTCTTGGGTGCTCTACTTATTGGTTGATGTAGCGTCTACATCAACCAAATTAACCACCGATCGATACTAGATACGCGCAATGGGTGGTGAGCAAGAAACCCACATAGGTGATTGCAGTTTAATATAGTTAGATGAAGGCAAAGATGGTTTATTAGGAAACTTAACTATATTAAATACAGTTCAACTTATTCCTAAAACATAGATTCCCTGGCTCTGCTTGTTGCCTAGCGCTTCCTCACGCCACGTGTATGCGAGTCGAAAGTACGCAGCCTTGTGTTCGATCAACACAAGGTCTTACCATTCATCTGTTAAGAGCGTGCCCCGTTACACGTACACAACGCTGTGTAATATTTTGAAGAACGACATGAACAGCAGAGATGACGTGTTGACAAGCAACATTCATCACGTTGAGGTTTCAAAAAGCTTAAGGGAGTATTTCGATGCTATTGCAGATGACACATTTGGATACTTGCGGACACGCAAGGTGGGTTGCATGCTGTCAAAACAAGCAATGCTGATAAAATTTTTGGTCGTCGCAAAAGATACCGAACTGTGTGGTGATGTCGATGCTGATACGAATACTGCGGAATGTATGCTGCAAAGGTAGCAGCATTCTTGTCGTCGGAAGTAAAGCACAAAATGCGCGTAAGCGGAGCAGCTCGGTCCTCTTGGTCCGCTTCGAACACAAGATACAGCATAATGATGCATCATAGTGCCATACATTCTGAGCAATGTCACTTCACCTTCAAGACACAAGAGTCTAACGCTCGAATTGCCATGCACCCTGTAGCAATGGTACGAAAGTGTCAACACGGTTGATGCTATAAGGCTATGTGATCACAGGAGACGAAGAAGACTGATCCGGCACTTCCAAAGCGTCGGAAATGCTCTGATTTTGTCATTTGCTATAACGCTTTCTCAAATATCATCAACAATGTCGATCAGTATCCATGTGATCCCAGGCATGTGGATATTCCGCCGTGCAGTGTACATCGCTGGCTGATCTGGTTCGTTTGTGTTCATCTTATCCATTTCTGATCTGATTCATTTGTATTCTGATCTTGCGGTGCATTTTGATTTTTGTCATCTTGTGGTGCGTTTTCTGTCGTTTGATCACTTGTTTATCTTCTTTACTTTTGTGGTCATCTGATGCGTTTCTCGATACCTCCTCTATTCATAGGCGGTAATCCATTATCTAGAAAGTGCTACGTAGATACGTCCGTTTCGATTTTAATTCTCTCTGCGTGGAGGTAGGACATTGAAAAGTGTCTAATTCTATGTGCTGTATAATCCTTGACTGCAGGTTTTCTATCAGTGCGTCTGATTTACATACATGACATGCAAGATGAAAAGGCGCTGGGAACAGATCGCGAAAAGGCGTTGGGAGCAAATCGCTAGGCCACGAACTACATCAACATTTCCCCTGCTGGAGAGGTTTCGCATGACTTCGACAAAGGCCACATAACAAGCTATCGATACAAATAAGACAGCTCGAACGATTTTGATCATGCACAAATGGAGTATTGCCTCATCTCAATATTATTCGTTAACATTGTCGAGTCCCGCAACCGATACTAGCGATACCTGATTGTGATGCAGTAGTAGTCGCATGCCGAAGGTAGTGTAGACCACCGTCTTGTCGAGAGTCACACATGCCATACCAAAAGAAAGCGCAGAAATCCAACAGTCCTTCACTGTGGTATTAGCGGTACTCTATCCAGCTGTAATACACACCAAGCAACGAGTAAGCTCACGTCCCGAAGAAAATATGCAGTGGAGGTATTGTACGAACCTATGTGTGAGAATTTTAGTGAAGCCCATTTTGTACAATACACTGGTGCGTACAGCAGTTGCCCTCGCGACTACACCCAGGATGTGTGGTGCCAGCTACGCAATCGGTGAGACATGGGTAAAATGACGACAGACTGTTTGCAGATGGGGCGGCGATGATAGCGGCTGCGATCAATAGACTGGTCTTGAAGTTCATCTTGAGCGACGGAAAAAGCTGACTGAAGTGTGCGTTGTTCGGTAGATTGCGGAATGACAGAATCGCAACCACTGACAGTCGGGGCGCCGCGCGAGCAGTAGGAATGCAGTGACGCGATGGGGATATCTATCCAACTTGTATAGCAAAAAAGGCTCGGTCGATCGTACGAGCTATGTCGGAAATCAGGAAAAAAAACTCAGCATGAGAATCTGTGGCCAGCTGAAACTGCGAGCGTCTACTGGGCTGTCTTCATTAACGTCGGTCATCAAGATCGGAAGAAGCCGAAGCGTCGCGGAGATATAGCGACAGGATGGGCTGCCATACCACTCGTGCGTTTGAGGGTTTGTACACCTACTCGTGCGAATACAACAGCTACATCACACAAACAATTCTTAGGCTCAATATCTGCAAGTAGTTGAGTCGGCGAGCTTGGGTTCGAGGCAGCTCGCGCGTGGATCTTGACGACTTGTCATCGTTGGATTCTGTCCAGTCGATTTCTGCGCCCTCATTCGGGACAAGTGCTCAACACAGCAGCAAGTATGTCACTACGATTGCTCAAGTGAGTGGGCCTTCATGAAGCTAGCATCGTCTGACGTATGTGCTCATAGTGGTTATGCGAATGCAGAACATTGATCGGTACAGCACACATAATTGTCTTCGCAAGAAGACGTAACGCATGAAGAGGCTGTTGCCGCCGTGTCA